TTTTATGGCACTGACTTTGTACCACAAGACCTTCAATCTCAGTTGACCATTTTTTTCTAGTAATGCTGTATCATGCAGCTCACTTTCCGATATTCTGACTTACTTGAGAACACTAACCACTAGTAAAAAAAGATTAATATCGCAAGTGATTCGGCTTGCAAAAGTAATCTTGGTCATGCCAGCTACCAATGCTACAAGTAAAAGATCGTTCAGCTCTCTCTGGCGTGTGAAGACGTATCTACGAACAACTATGACGCAAACCACCTCAATCATTTAACGGTATTATATGTTTACACAAAGACAGGGCAAGTGGCTTACGTTTACTAGAAGCATGGAGGTATTAAATGATTTTGTCAGAGGATCGGCCCATCGCCAAACCATATTTGGTAGATTCGGACCAACAGATCTATCCCAATCAACATTATTAATGAAAGACGCAAAATCGCAAACTGTTTGAGTGACGCAAAATGTAAAATTCTAAAGATTTGTCTCATTCTCCTTATCAGTATCTATCTTATATTGTTTAGCCGGCCTTTTGCAATACCGTAAAACCTCGAATAGAAGCCCAATTGGCTTAATTTCGAGCAGATGCCACTCGAATTGAAGCTCCCTTTTCACAATTTATATATAGCTCCCTCTTCACAATTATATATATTATATATATATATATATTATATAGAATTTCATAATTATAATTAACACTCGTAAAAAATTACACTACGAAATATGTAAATTAAAAAATATATAAAGAATAAAAAATTAAGTAAATACTATATTTATATATATATATTATATATATATTATATATAATTTCATAATTATAATTAACACTCGTAAAAAATTACACTACGAAATATGTAAATTAAAAAATATCTAAAGAATAAAAAATTGATTAAATAAGATTAAATTGTTCAAATCAAGTAAAGATGCAGGAGAGCGCATTTCCGGGCATCAACAACAGAAACTAAATTTTCCGAGAAAGGACATCCGGACCCCAAACCACCCCTTCCCCCCCCCCCCCCCTTAATCTTTTTTCAGGAAATCTCTCGCTGTATGTTTGTGGTCACGGGGTTCAGCTGGCCATGTCGAATATTGATAGTGCCTTCAGTAAAGCAGGCATCCCAACAATTCTCAACCCCCATTTTTAACAAAAGTTTAGCGTGAACTTTTCACTGTCCAAATGCAAGTTGTGTTCGGCCGATATTGCGTTTATGTATTCATTCAGAGTGCGAATGAATGAATGGCCAGCATTGCACACATTTATTGGTTTAGGCCTAGATTGCATTCCCAACCCCCCCCCCCACTTTCTAAACAATAGTACTTACAGGTATTTTGACCCTCATCAAAATCAACAAGGCAACTCACTATTCTTTCAAATATTAAAGGAAGTAGTTTCGTCAATTGTGTTAATGCGTATCAAAACAAAAAAACAAAAACAAAAAAAGAACATTAAAGATGAATATTTCTCTCAGCTGGGGGTTGAGCAGTAGCTTGGAGGAAAAGGCAATGGTACCCAAAAAAGAAGGTGTGGCTCACGGGTGCTGATTAATATTCATAACGTAAGAAGGCTTATTACTTCCTATGACTTAAATTCCTTAATACAGGTATCTAAAATCATGGCTGATCTATGATACAAAGTGTTTTCATGCCTCAGCTTCGAAAAAGTCGTTTTTGTAAATACAAAATAAATTTGTATATTTTGATGTTCAAATTAAATATTATTTTTTGCAAAATATGCACTTTTATACCTAAGATAATTTACCAAGAATCGCTAAAATTGTATTCTACATAAATATTTAAATATCATTAAATTATTGTAAATCTGAAACTATAATTGAAATTCAAATATTGGTTAATGGCTTGCGAGAAATTATTTTAGTTTATTTATTATACCGATGGGTTGATACCGTATTTTCAGTTCGTTTTAAGAACAATTTACGATTATAGACAGTTTCCATATTTTCGAAGAAACAAATTATAATTTGGCAAGTTAATATTATTAATATGCAATAAACGTAAAAAAAATATTTAAAGCATCAATAAGCAAATTTATATTAACGCATGAATACAATAACTTGAATAACACCGCGAAGATATTGAACAACTTGTGCAATATCTTTAAAAAAAAATGCAATTAGAAAAAAACCAAGAAATACCACTTGCCATCATAGCTCAGTTGGCAAAGTATCCGAACGGTAACAAGAAGGTCGCAATAAATATTATATTATAATCTAATTCACACCACAATGTATGTTGTTATTCAATTTTATCAACTCAATGTTGAAATTATATATTTAAAGAAGCTAAATGATACATTTTGAGAGGCATTCACGTTACTTTGTACGCACTTTCGATTCATTCATTGGTTAGTAGGCCTATAGGATAGTATAACAATAGCTTACCAGATTCAGCTACGCACACAGCATAATATGCAGCAACAAAACATAAAGCCAGTGTACACTTCCACACAATCGGTTCCATGATGACGACGTCACAATGTGACACACCAAATTTAAAATATTAGATTTATTTCTTTTTACACAAAAAAACTGAGAATTAAACCAGATGTGCGTGTAGTCTACATTTACTACCTGTCCGATATCTGTTAGTATCGTACCGTATAAAGCATTAGCTCGGTATGGCATCAAACTAATAATTCAGTTTCTATTATTATCAAGATTTATGTGCTAATTAATTGCAATCAATTGAATACATAATATGTAATGTCTTTAACATTGTTGTTTTATGTGTGTTTGGAAGTGAGCCCTCTTTGGGGCGCTTTCATTTCAACTAGTTCAAACGGTAGTATGGTACCTTATGTTCTGAGGTAAATATAGTTAAAATTGTTAGTTTCAAACTTGCATAGGTTTTTATTAAAGTCATAATGTCAATATGGTTTTGTGCTGGAGTTAACGCTGTACTCTTGCTTAGTACCGGTATTGAATATTGATATCTTTCCTTGTTATGGCATGATTCTATATGAGCATGTCTAGCCTATTTTTTGATACACTATGCATGAACGTGCACGTAGGAGCCAGCACGCTGCTAGAAATGCATTTTAATATTGTTTGTAGCACAAAATGGCTCAAGTACATTAAAGAGAAAATTATAATACAAGATAACATAATATGTTTTATTGATGATCAAGCTAAATGATCAAGGAAATTGTTTAAGATATAAAAAAGAAACCAAAAATGGAGGAGTATTTATTAGAAAGAGACAGCTACCATACATCTAACCTAAAATTTAAAGCCCGAAGGGAGGAAACAATCATAGTCACCACAAAACTTAGGTCAATGTTTATTAATTAATTCTAATGATAAAGAAACTCTCAAATAGATCATTTTATGTTTAAGTGTAATAGATTACAATTTATTAGAGAACCTATTTTTTTTTTAACTTCAGGAAGAACTATGTCACAATGACCTAATGTTTGTAACCTTGAAATTCGTAATAACCACCAAATTATAACAAACACAATTTAAACTCATTTTAATCACGAAATGGTGGGAAAATCTGTAACAAATATTGTAAATTATTTTCAACTAGAGCATGGGAAGAACGTAACAAAATATATAATACTTTTTCATAAATTAATTTGTTATAAAAAGGGTGGGGAAGTAATGGAGAAGAGAAGAAAAGAAAAAAGAAGAGTGGGGTGGGGGTGGGAATTGAAAAAAGAAAATCTGTTTTTTTTTTTTTTTTTTTTTTTTAATTTCATTAATGTTTCTTTTCATTTTCTTCAGATAAAGTGTAATGCATTCTCCGGGAAATGGAATGCTGGCCGTCGAGCTTTGGCATTGATCTTGCCATCGTCAGGAATTCCTGACGATGGCGTGATCGGTGTCGATCACGATGGCTTGTATATTATTTCTAGGAATAGTTAAATAAAAAATACAAAATATTGATTAAGTATTAATTACACAGTGCATTAGTTAAGTAAGAGACGTCTATAACAAGACAAATGTACATTTGTTATTATTACCCTTATATTGTGAATTCGTGTTGCACACCTTATTGTGCCTCTGTTACAAAAAAGAAACAATAAAGTTATTATTATTATTATTATTATTATTATTATTATTATTATTATTACTATAATATAGTTGCCATCGAGGGTATACTTTACATTACACGGGTATACACAACACGAGCAATTGACGAGATTCATTATTGTCATTCTATTTACTTGTGGTGAGTACAGGCCACACCAAAATTTAAAGATCAGCGTACTTGTTCCAAAGTAAAAAAAAAAATAAATAAATAAAAATAAATAACAAAACAATTAAATAACAGAAACAATGAAATAAGAAAAACATTAAACAACACGAAACTAGGAAACTGCCTGTGGTTTCTTTTTTACCTTTTAGAAGCCTGTTGTTGAATCTTGAACTATGGCCTATTCTCACTGCGGTAAATAGAATGAGATAATTGTCTTTATTGTGTGTTTTGACTTTATTATTAGAGCTGTCAGGCGTGACAGAGACTCATGTAATCAAGAAGTTCATGTTATTTAAAGCCCCATTCCCGGCAAAATTTCACTAAAAACTGACTTTTTTCTAGAAAATATGCATTTGCATTACTCCAATTATTATAAATCATTGAAAAATATTGGCATGAATTTTAGTTTTACGCAAAAAAAATTAAAAAAATGAGAAATACAGACTATTTCTCATAAATATTACCATTTTCTCGACGAATTCATTGTTACTAGGCAAATTCAGAGGTTGTAGATCACATCCACTGGAATACTCTCGCTTTTGTGTATACTTTGTACAGTCAATATAGTGCGCCCTCTCTAATGAGATTAGTTTTTGTACTTCGCATCTCGCACAATGCGGTCGTTCGGTTAGGCTGAGATATGTTTGTTTAAGTGTCAAAATCTCAGTCTGAATCAGTTTTTTAACAAATTTGAAATAATTTCTGTGAAATATTATATTCAAAAGTGTCAATACTAGCAACGGAAAATATCATGTCGGCCGTTTTTATGTGTGATAACAGAACCTAAATCGAGGTAAGGCTAGGCCTAGCCTAGCAGCGTTGGATAGGCTAATGTTTTCGGTGCCTACGATATTTCTTCTCACGACCTATCGCAAAATCAACATGAAAAATTCATCCGCATTTATTTTTTGTGTGGAACACAAAAAAAAATCAAATTTTAGTCATATTTTACATTTTTTTTTCATTCTTAGGAATGTCTAAATTCAGTTAAACTAGCAATTCCGTATTATATTTATAAATTTTTATAACATTATACAAAAATTAGATTTTTCTTAAAAACTGAAATTTTGCCGGGAATGGGACTTTAACAACACTTTCAAGGATGAAGACACCAAGACGTATGTGACAATAATAAGCTGAATCAGATATAGGATTAATACAGTTGAAGATTTTAAAGCATTACCAGTTTTGTTTCCTAGATTCGCTTGATTTGTCCACTGTGTTATTAGATCTTATGAACATAGGCCTATACATGTGTACATTACTTTCAAGACCATCATTATTACTTTAAAAATATATTTATAACCAATCTTTACGAATTCATTTTATAAATGAATCGAAATGACTAATAGTCAGATTAATTATTAAGCTGTGTCACACTATCAAATTTCCATTGACAACTGTTCCCATATAATTATAGTCATGATGTGCCTATATTTGGTCATGATGTGATGTCATCATAACCATATTTGCATCTCGCATGTTTTTGGGAAATAAAATTTGATAATCTGGACAGAAATTTACATCACAATATTCATTTTTTTTTACCAGAAAGAAAGGTCACTCAGGCCCGTAGCCAGGAGGAGGGGGGGTATGGTTCGCCACCCCACCCCCTTTTCTAGCGAACCCCCATGTTTTCTAGCGAACCCCCTCGAATTTTTGAATGAGTCCCACCCGTTTTTTAAATTGTAGCCTGCGATACAAGCCTACATTCATAGAATATCTTAGCTTCAGAAGTTCGGAGATTTAAATTAAAACACAATTCCAGCAAACAATGATTTTACGATGGCACACATAAGGATGGAAAACATCGATAAAAACCCGGCTGCCGTCTCAACTTTCACTGGTCTTTGGCTGAATGTTTGTAAGAAACGTACCAACCGGTAACGAAACCGGTCGCCGTCTACCTAGAGTAAATGGTGCCACCAAACGAAGCTAAAGTTTTGCGACTTAATCCACCAAATGCAGATAAAGTTTTGCGACTTAATAACCTAATTGTGGGTTGTGTGGTTAGTAAATTCCATAGCCATACTGTCCATAGCACACACTAAACTATGTGCTGATGGAGAATTTTGGGGAAATGGACTCTCCTTTTTTTCATCCCAAACAAAATATTATTAATAAATCAACATAGTCCATCTCAGTCATCATAGCACTAAACTACAGAACGGAGTGCGTCAAAACGAGTGTTTGTTAATTTTTAGTGATAAAGAATCATGAAACGTTGTAGAATAACTGACTTTTTTTCGTCCGCTGTTGCAAAGAAGAAATCGACAGATAGTCCTGGTGGGTTATTGATTTTAAAATTAATTAGCCTAGCCTAGATGTTGACTAGCTAGGTTCGCTCCTCGTTCATTTAGATACAGAATTATACCCCGACGACAACAAACTAGTGTAGGCCTAGGCATAAGTACAATAGGACGTACTACAGGTAGGCCTATTAGGCCTAGGATTTTGTTGTAAAAGTTGAAGTGCATGTACAGGATGCGCCATAGGCCTATATTTAAAAAAATACATTTTGTTAATTATTATTGGTTGGCCTGGGATGGACCTAGGCAGGCAGGCCAGCTTTACCGTCGGAGGTCCTGGGATTCGATTATGACGTCCGTGCACGTTTACAAACGCCATTGATTAGAATGAAAATAGGCGCGCTGAATTTCGTTTTTTTGTTTTTTTTTGTTTTTATTGTTTTTTTTTTTTTTTTTTTTTCTTTTTTTATGAAAGATAGAATTTATCGAACATTTATCTACATAAAAACAAGAATAATAATGTAAAAATTGTATTTATAAACATGCATATAATTCATATTTCATTTGTAGACAATAAATATTCAGTAAGATATACTAAAAACGATTATTAATTCTGAAATGTGCATCTCAGCTATTATTAATCAGTAGGCTATGTACTATGTTATAATAATTTCGAATTATGCTATATTTTGGGCTCTGACTTAATTTAACGATAGCCCTATCAGTAGTAATGACAGTATTTGTGCTTTTTTTTAGCCATGTAGTAAAATAGTACTCTTTTTATAAAAGTCAAGAAGAAGTCGTATAAGAACAAGAGGAGGAGGAAAAAGAAGAATAGCTTTTTTCTTTGTTTTATAATAATAAACGTGTTGAGTATATTGATATTGATTATGCGATGAGGTTTTTTTTTTTTTTTTATGTCTTTCGGTGTGATTTAAACATGCCAATTCTCAGAAAATATTTTCTAATTTATATATTACCACCTTTTCAGTACATAGATCTTTTTCAAAACATAGGTCAAACTGCTTTTATAACATTATTATAGACCCATTAGACGCATAAACTGCTCTGGCTTCGCCTCCGACCCCACCGTGGCCCCAGGCACCTGAACCCCACCAGGGGTGGTGCCAGGGGGGATGGCCCCCCTCAGGGAGAAAAAGCACAATTCGTCGGGGAGAAAAAACATTATATGTATTTTTTTACATTAGTAGACTCTAATATCGATTTAATAAGCCTTTGAAACCCCTGATTTGTCAAAATGTTCGGGGGCTTCACCCCCAGGACCACTTTTGAAACCTATTAATTGAAGCTCGACCACGCCCACTTTGCTTTCGTCGGGAAAATCTGACCCCTCGTCGGGGCACCTCCCCCCCCGGTCGGGGGCCACGCCCCCCACCTCCCCGTCGTGCAAATCCTGGTGCCACCTCTCGACCCCACGCCCAGAGAACCTCTCCCTTGAAATGACCTGGCTACGGGCCTGTCACTGTATTAATTTACTTTGCTTGATATTCAGAAAGCAAGCATAATAGTTCCTTATAGGATTGTTGTGAATACTTTATTTATTAAATAATTTATTGTTCATTATTTTCAACTTAAACACAAAAATTAGTGTTTCATTTTAATCAATGATAATACATATTTTTAGCCTTTTGACATTATGGGAGCAAATTTGGATACCGAATTAGCTAAACGTTTTGGCATCATGAATATGAGACTGTGTTGTGTGTTATTTCTCTAAAATCAAAAGTCTGGTTTCAGAACCAATCCATAGTAAACCTTTAGCAAAAGATGCTGACTGAATAAAAAATGATAGTCCTATTTCTATAATTAAATTTTAAATTTATTTATGAATATTATTTTTATAATAATATTACAATTATTGAAGAGGAGTTAAATAGCTGGGTGTGTGAAAGATCTCAGAGCTCGAAAACTCAGACCCCGAAAACTTTAACCCCCTTACTAGATTTCTAGACAGTAATACCTTTATTCGAAAGCCAACATCATTATATAGAACTGACTAATTATGCAATTGTTACCATTATCATCTAGTCCCTCATTAAATTTATCTCGTAATGAAAAACAAGATTTTAATTAGCCTCCCAAAAGGAGGTTAGGCCTATCTTTTTAGTTGTGTTCTTTTACATGTTGTCGTAGTTGTTGTCACTGTCATTGTTGTTAGAAGATTGTTTGTTATAAGATGCGGTGATAAGATGACGAAGCCTATTGTTTTTGGTACGTGTGGGAATATGCTATTTGATCATTTGCATAATTAATATTTTAATAATCCGATAATTTAGTTACCACGACAACTTAGATTTGGTACTGGTAAGTCTGATTAATTTTAAACTTGGCAGAATGCAAGATATTATAAGAAGACCGTAACAGTAAGTGAAGTTTGATACCGGTAAATCTGACTGGGAACCATTCCTTAAGGAGGCTATGCTTTTACTGCGCCGCGTACTAAAAGCTTAGTATTTTTAGTTCAATCATAGAGCAAACAAAATCGAATAAACAAACAGTGTACGTGTAGAGGCTATTCACACAAATATATGTGCTATGCCCATATTATTATCATGCCCATATATGGGATCATCGCTCAAAATTGTAACATGAAATTTGACATGAAGTGGCAATGTAACGTGCAAACAATTGTGAAAAAGCCACAGAGGAGAATCTATTTGTTTGCATAAGCTTAAATAATTTGGAATGCATCTGACTAAAATAATATCATTTTATAGATCAGTAATAGAAAGTATCCTAACATTACCTATAGCTGTAGGGGGCGCTACCAAAAACAACATACACAATAACACAATAGTAAGGACTGCAACGCGCATCATTGGTTTGACACAAGTGCCTCGAGAGACCATATTTCTGTAATCGGCTTCTTAAAAAGGCAGAAAATAATATTAATAAGGTCAACCAAACATATCCAGCCTCAAGTCTATTCCAATTGATGCAGAGTGGTCGACGCTTTCGATCATTAAAAGGCCAATAATGTGTCGAAGTGCTTCTACCATAGAGCAATTAGGACTTTAAACACTATAGGTATCGTAACTTGTATACATTGTATCTTTGTATGCGTTTATTTTGCCTTTTGAAAAGCGTTTTACCAACGGAGCAAACAAATTGCTATTTATATGTGGTACTTGTAAGGAGGTAAAATTAATAAGGTGTCAGATTTTTAGCGTTGGTGATAGGTTGAAATATTATTGGGGTCAGGGGATGTCTGTTTCTCTGTTTCTTTGTAACCATATTAAAAAACGCTAGAGAAACATAAAAATCTGTTTCAATGATATACAAAACAAAATACATCTTTATGTCATAACACAAAATAATCATTAGCACCGCATCACAGTTGTTGATTGTTGAGATTTAAAAATGCCGTATTCCCTTATCATCATTTTTGTGCTGCCTACTGGCAATTTTTGTATTTGTTTACATGGGTTGCGAGTATCTTCCTGGGACGTCTCATTTAGTATTATGTCCCACTTCACCGCTACCATCTATGAGAAGGGAAGTCATTGTAATGTGTAGGGTATTT